GGGGGAGGAGTGGCTGGAAAGCTGTCTGGGGGAAAAGGATCTTGGGGTGTTGGTCAACAGCCAGCTGAATATGAGCCAGCAGCGTGCCGGGTGGCCAAGAAGGCCAACAGCATCCTGGCTTGTATCAGGAATGGTGTGGACAGCAGCAGTAGGGAGGTGATCGTGCCTCTGTACTCAGCACTGGTGAGGCTGCACTTCAAGCACTGTATTCAGTTTTGGGCCCCTTGCTACAAGAAGGACAATGAGTTGCTGGAGCATGTCCAGAGAAGGGCAACGAGGCTGGTGAGAAGTCTAGAAAAAAAAGTCTTACAAGGAGCAGCTGAGGGAGCTGGGGCTGTTTAGTCTGGAGAAGAGGACGCTGAGGGGGGACCTTACTGCTCTCTACAACTACCTGAAAGGAGGTTGCAGTGAGGTGGGTGTTGGTCTCTTCTCCCAAGTAACTAGCGATAGGATGAGAGGCAATGGCCTCAAGTTGCATCAGGGGAGGTTTATATAAAATATTAGGAAAAATTTCTTTACTGAAAGAGTGGTCAGAAATTGGAATAGGCTGCCCAGGGACGTGGTGGAGTCCCCAACCCTGGAGATGTTAAAAAAAATGTGTAGATGTGGCACTCTGGGCTATGGTTTAGTAGGCATGGTGGTGTTGGGTGGATGGTTGGAATTGATGATCTTAGAGGTCTTTTCCAACCTATGATTCTACGCTAGAGAATGCTTTCTTGGAAAAGTGTGGAAGTTCTGTGAACTTCAGCTACAGAGCTCCTGAAAATAAGAATTTGCATATTTTGGTATACAGTTGAGGCCATCTTAAAAATACTAGATCAGTGAAGGTCATCTCCAGAAGATAAACGGGAACAAAAACCAGATCCAGACTGAGAGAACTTCTACCTCAAGAAGCACCTGTTAAATCCAAACTACTGTGCAGCCATGAACATGAAACAGGAACATATCACACACTGAATAAAACACATTTCCGAAGGGCTACAGGATTCTTGCATCTGTACTGAATGATAGCAAGGGAGTCTGACAAAGTTCTCGCACAGCTTCATGCTCATAACACCCAGTGGTATGAGGCTGAAATGCAATAAGCTGAGCTAGGTACTCAGAGCTTACCACACAAGTAGACTGAATTATCCAACAACAAGAGACAGTCCCCCCAGAAAAGAGTTTTTCATAGTCTAGTAAATACCTACTGTGTCACAGCAGAAAAAAAATGATGCCCGTCGTATTTGCTAAAGGCATGCAACCAATATAAAAAAACCACACACATCATTTTGATTGAGTCTATGCACTAACAAGTCTTCTCTTAACTGAACTTGAAAAGTCACAGAACATTTTTAGACAATCTGTTTAAATTGTTTTTTATCCAGTATGATGTATACTTCCAACAGATAACTGGAAAAAGAAATATCAATACCTTCACATGGAATTTGCAATAAACTGCTCTTCCACTAGCATTAATCAGTTTAAAAGTATGTGATCCATATCCATTCATATGGCGAAAACCATCAGGAATACCACGATCACTGAACAAGAAAGACACCTGAAGAGAAGGATCAAACAATATTAATGGACTCACCAGAACAAGAATAAAGCGACCATTCGAGACAAAGTTCATTTATCACATTAACCTGCACCACTGGAAGCTATCTTAATGTTATGTATTCCTTGAGGAACTTCTAGTTTAAGAGTGTTAAATAAGATTGCTTTGGTTCTACAGAAAGATAAATTGTGAATTAAACCTGTGTGTTTTATGCCCATGTTACATATTTGGTGAAATACAAGACATTAACCTAGCGATAACATTATGATTTCCCCCACAAGCACAGAGCAGGTAAGCGTGGGTAATTTAAGTTGCAAATATAAGTGAGAACTTTGTCCAGGTTAAAAATAAAATCTGTAAACTGAAGTCCTTAACAACTAGCTCTTCAAAGTCTTCAAGCAGTAAACACACCACCACATCGACGTATTCAAAATGCTGCTTTTCTTTAGGTTTACGATCACAAACAATGCTCATGGTGGTACTTCTTTTTCCAATTATTAATTACTGGGTTCGTACAGAAGCCTTCCATTTTCTTTTAAAAAATTACAACCACGTTTTTCATTTTATATTAGTCTTTTTGCATAACATTCTTGGATACAAACACATTTTAGAATAGTTAAAGCTTACTGTGAATTCTAGTCATTTCTGGAGTTGATCTAACACGCTACGCAATATACAGCTTTAAACTTATACATAATAGCATTACTTTCCCAGTATTTTACTGTTCTCTAACATTAAGTTTGCTGTTCACCAGTATCTCCACTGCTTTAGTGTTAGAAAACTTGTCAACTTCCCCTTCATCCCTATAGAAAATATGATTAAGAATCCCACCCATTTCAGTCATTAAAAGAAAAAAGGCTAGATACACGTACTAATAGCCTTAAAATTTATTGTAGGCCTTTCACTTTTACCGTTCTTAAAAGATTATGTAGCCTTCTAGATAAAACATGGAAAAGAGACAGCGAAAAATACATGCTGTCGTAACACGGTATGCTGAATCCTACAAAATAAAGTCAAAGGAGAACCTTACTTGATGCAAAGACTCAGGGCGAAGACTCCAGAAGTCCCACATCATGTCTGGGTCCTTCAAATGAGTCTGAGGGTTCCTCTTTTGACTATGGATGAAGGATGGAAACTAATTTGTCCAGAAGTGGAGGGAGGAGAAAAAAAAACCAAAAGTTCTGTAACACTTCCAAATTGTATTTGGTATACTAAGCTACTTATGATGCAAACCAAGACAAACGTGTTTTTCAATACATGTAAGTATGACAGCAACAGCACACAAAGATGAGACAAAGTTGTAAAAATCACTAAAAAACACACAACACCTTGTATTGTCATATACCTCCTGCCCACAACCAAATTCATTACTCTAATTATACCGCTTTGTAAGTGAAACATTTGCAATTAGGATAAACACGTTGTTGAATGCTTTCAATTTGTGACCAACAAAGTGAGAGGAACATCTTTTCAAATTTGTATACATGAATTTTGCTGAATATCTGCCTCCTAAACAAATACTGTTTGAGATACTATAAAATATCTGTGCAGAACTCCTCAGCTCAAGGAAAGCCCTGCTACCTACAATGTGCTGTTAAACTTGTACTAAAAGACCAAACATATCAGATTTAATAAAAAGCATTCGCAAAAAGCTTTTAAAGTAGAAAGCCTTCCCCCCCCACCCCCCAAATAGCCTCAGAATGAAAAAAGCCTGTCTACAGAGCAAAGCAGCTAATTTGAACACCAGTGAAACTGATCAGATCTGAAGTTAAAAACACAACGATGTACTTACCTGCTGGCTATTCTGCTGTGGCATACGTGCTAGCAAACACACCTGAATGCATGTGCTGCTTGTGGTATGAAACCACGTAAGTAACAAAGCATTATTTCTTAATCTTTTTTTAAATAACACCTTTTCAAGTAAAAATGTTCTGACCATCTAACAAACAACAAAGTTTAAGCACGTCAAAACAACAGCTTCTGCTTCTCAGTGAAGCGAGAATAAGATGTGAATGAGTTTTTGGACTCTTCCACAAAGTACCTTCAGTTTTTGTGCTTACTCACCAACATTGCGTCCCGAATAAAGAAGATAGGAGTATTATTTCCCACGAGATCCCAATTACCCTCTTCTGTATAGAATTTCATTGCAAAGCCTCGAGGGTCACGAACTGTGTCAGCTGACCCCGATTCTCCAGCTTGAAGAAACACATGAACATACGGAAGTGTTATGATAGGAAATGCACACAAACTGTAAGCATAAAAACATAGAACATGCCACAAAAATCCTAAAAGGGTGAGGTTTATTTATTTAAGTCTCCTCCATACCAAGGAATTTTTGGCATAGTTTCAACAATACTACAGGCACTGGAAGTTTCCAAAGTGTGAACAGATACCCACCCAAGCATTCAGGCCACAGTTAAAAGAAAGGACAAACAAGTATATCCACTTGAACCAATTAAGAGCGGAATTTGCATTATCACTGACAGAGACAACATCAGATTATAAGGTTGAATCACCTAAAACCACATTAGCTTCTGTGCATCAAATCCCAGTGTGAAAGCTCTCATTTGGAAAGTAGCAATCTAAATAGCATGCCTAATAAAAAGCGAACTTATATAGAAGAGTTGCAACTCTTAATTCCTCTCCTGCTTTATCCAAAACCGTCCTCTCAGTGGGTAACTTTATACCAGAAGTGCCTACTGTAATATCTGAGCAAAAGTGTCCCAGAAGTATTCAGGAACAGCTAATGCTAAACATCACGATGAAATAACAAGGACACTCACTCTCTCATTATTAAAAAAAATGTGTACTACGGAATAGCTAGGAAGAAACGTGTTCAAAGGGAGCAGCGAAAGCAAAGGTAACAATGCAACAACCCACTTCAGCACACAGTCCCCAGATCAAACTCAGCTGCATGTCCTTCCCCTGCAGAACATTCCACCACTCCTTAAGTTTCAGAGACACAGGGAAAGCCAGTAGGCCAAAACCAGCAGCTCCTTGAGCCTCGCTGGACTACTTTTTTCTCTCCAATACTACCTCCAGTACCGAATCCTTATCAGGATTTCTTTTCTTTTAAACACAGATAGAGTAATAACACATACATTCTGAAAGGCAATTTTTCTGTCAGACAAGATATTGATCATAATGCATTCTTTAACTAATGTAATTTAAAATTTTGCTAGTTTACACATTTAGCTCTTCAAGAAATAAGAGTTTACTTATGGAAGACTGTTTATTCTTCTTTGCCTAGTACATACTTTACAGTATTCATCCCCAAAACATTCCTACAGCATTTCAAGTGTTAAACTGCTGCATTCCAGTGTTGATTACAATCCATTCAGAAACAAAGCAAGCTTTCCACCAGAAAATAAATAGCTCAGACTATCCTTTCTCTCACATTCTGGAGGGAAAAAATGTCTACAAAGAGCTCTGGCAGAAAGATGCAGAAGCTACTTAAGGTCTCACAATTTAAATGAAATGCATAGAAGAGGAACTGGTTGGCAGAAAGCATTTCAAACTACCTTAAATACATTAAGGGCTCCACAAAGCAAACATAGCTATCAGTATAGCTATGGTACACATGTAAGAAGATATACAATAACTTTAGAGCCTTACCAACAGTGGAGAACCGTATAGCAATCGGAGTTCTTTTGCCAATGTGTTCAAACACTTTTGCCTTGCAATACCGGGTAATATCATGCGTGACTTCAAAATAGCCAAAGGCTCCTAAAAAAAAGTAATTTCAAAACATCAGATCTAGATACCTTCCTTCCACTCCCAGTGCATTCTGTTACAGTCCAACATACAACTTCAACTCAAAAAGAAACATGGAAATACACCAGTTTAAACAGAGTTCACATCTATGCACTGAAACACTCAATTTATTCTCACAAAATGAAATTTACTTAAACACAAACTACTATTTGGTGCTCACTCTCCCCTCCTTCACTGACTGATAAGAGTTCCCAGAAGCAATACAGACCTCATTTCTACTGTGCAGTGACAGACAGTAGCTTCTTGGATGCTCTTCCGCCAAGATTTGCATATTTATCTTCGAGCATGACAAGTAGTTCTTTAAACCTGATACGTGTTGCAGAATTTGTAGTCCAACTTTAAGCTGGATGAAGTAACAAAGTTCTTCCCACCCCCAAAGATTTTTTTCCCCCATGTACATTCACATTACAGTAAAATGCAGTCCCACATTTTCTTCTAAGGCAATACGTAGTAAAAATTAGAGCTGCTAGTTCTACCCTACTAATATCAATAACAAACTTATAAATAATAAAAAAGCCAACTAATTTTCAATTTAAATATTAGGCCTTCATCTTGCTTTGGCAGACAGATACATTGGATGACACAGACAAGCATCTCTGTCAAATAACATGCAAACAGACATAAAAATACAGATGGGCAAGTCTTCCCTTTCAGATTAATGGGGTACTATGAAGGAACAGATAGAGGAATTAGAGATTACAGCAAATACAGTAAAAATTTAAGGGTTATAACTACATTTTTTTTAATTGGGTTCTTTTAAACCAGGTCCTACCACTGTTGTTGATACGTAATTATTATAAACAATACTACTAAATTATAGATAATAAGATGCAATTTATCTGTCACTATGCATTAACCGAAAAGTCTTTTAAAGTCCAATGCTACACAAAAAAATTACGTGTTTTTCAACATACCTGCCCCTTTTGCATGCACAACTCTTTCAGGAATCCTCTCTCTGTCAAAGTGAGCCATCTCATCAGTGAAAACAACATCTTGAACGAGAAGAGGCCCACGTGGTCCCACTGTCAGAATATTAAGCTTATCTCCTACTGGGTTCCCACCACCGGTGGTCAAGACATCCGGTTTCTGAAAGTGAGAGACAGTCAATGTCACCATAACAGAAATTAAAAACTCTAAGCCACACAGTGCGCATGCCTGTTCAACCATTATGTGTCACGGGACATATGAACAAGTATATAGCAAAATGGCATAAGATTCTGGAACCAGTTACAGAAAATACAGATGTCTAACTACATCATCACAGTACTGTGTTTGGGGCTATTTCAGCAGAGGACTTCAAGTCATGTGTAATCCAAGAATGCCTCCCATGGTTCAGAAATTACTTGTTAAGACCATATATCTTGCTTCAATAAAAATATGAAATATCAACCTTAAAACATGAGTTAAGGTTCAGTTTGCCCCTCACCTCAACAGAAGAGGATGGGAAGCAAGCAAGCTAGAAAAGGAGTAGCTGCTGGAAAGCAGTAAGGGAGAAAGGAGAGGAAAAAGAAGGTAATGTCAGTATAGGGACGGAGGCATAAGGAAAGAGCTATAGTCACATAGCATAAAGACTAAAAGTGGGTATCCATGATTACCATCGGTCTGGAAGAGCTATGGAAAACATAAGCAAGAGCACCTGAGGAATCATCATTCCAGACTCCTGAACCATGGAAGGACTAAGATTAACAAAAGCCCTAAGCCCTACTGTCAATAACTGTCAATAAATGTCCTGTCAAAAGGACGGCAAATCAGAACTTTTTGTTTTTTTACTAGCATCATTATTGTCTTTAAGACCACTGCTCAAGATAGCCCATCCTCATCCTCTTCCCTTCCATATGAAGTCTAAGTTAACCATTCTTGTAGGCTACTTAGAGCTGCAGCATCTAGTACAATAGGAGTGACCCTGCACCTGAAAGAGACAGCCACTCCAGGGCAACTTCAAGAAACACCTCTTGAAACCCTGCAGCGCTGTAATTGAGTGTACTCCCACCTGCTTAAGAAAAATCCCAGCAGAAAAGACTTTATCTGGACCCCCCCCTTTAATGTATACGGGGTCATATGCTCCTTTAAGGCAACAGCTGTGTTTTACTGGGTACTGGAGAAAACATCGCAAGAAAGGTACACCAGCTCCAGAGACCTGATGGTTGCAGATCTCAGTTTTTCCTGGAGCGCATTTGTTAACTGTTAAGAGCCAGGGCAATGTTTGTAAAGGACTCAGAAGAACAGAACAGAAGGTAGTACAAAGAAAAAAAAAGTTTGCAACAGGGTGAGCTCAAGCAGTCACAGATTATGACCAGTTAACACTAAAACCATAGTTACAAGTTGCACTAAACTGACATCTATCCATGTGGGCTCTCTATCCGTACCATCCTACCCTCCTCTGCCACGAGCATCCACGTGCCTGAACTAGGGGAAACACATCAGAATAAACTCACTCACCCCCCTGACTAGTTCTCCTCTTTTACAGTTCTATGAATGAAAAAAAGATGGTGAAGAGAAGGAGAAAGTAACTCTTAATGAAAAGGCTTTCATTATCATATCAGTGACTTTATGGGGTTCCAGCTTTCACACTGACAATCTAAGTTCTGCTTTAAGTGTTTCAATTACCATAAACAAGCAAAATTCCCATCTGTATCTCATAGAAGAGTATACTGAACCGGACTAGCCTCCAGGTTTTTTTTTCTAAGAGGCAACCCACAAAGGCAGGAGAAAACAATTATTCACCTCTACACCCAGAGTTCTGGATGAGGCAGAGTATACAAGGAGAGTTATATACACCTTTGTTTAACTCAGGTACATGAATAACCACATGAAAGGTGTTTGACAGGATAACTGCATTTCCAGTGTGTTCTTACTAATATGTTACACACACTACTCTAGCTGGCTTGAATTCCCAAAATATCTAGGTTCTTTATTCTTCATTCACCACTGTATTAGCATAAAGCCATAAGCATAAATTCAACTCTTTCAGGATGCCTGAAATTCTAACCTTCACTGAAGTTTATACAAACATTTACAAAGGACAATATATACCTGGTTATAAACAGGAACACGATGTTCAGAAACTTAAAGCTAAAGCAGTATCTTTCCTGTATTTAAATTATTCTTAAGTCAAAGGGACAGCTGCTTAAATAAAAACATTATTCACAGTTTGTCAACAGAAATATGCAAGAGTAGAAACTGTTCTCAGGATACTTTCCACTGCTTATATATCACATTTTTTCAGGGCTTGCTTAGGGAGAACTATTTTTTTTCAGTTCAGCTTCCAGCACTGCCTATATTTTCCTTTTATTTTCATTTGTTTTGCTGATTAAAAGCTTCAAGCTTCTCACAGATAAAACCAAATGTATTAGTTTTTCTGATGATATTTTTTTTTTCTTATTGGTGACTGTCATACTCATTTAACACATCACTGTAATGTGATGAAAAAGAACAGATCCTACAAATGGCATCCTAAGCTTCCACATTTTCTTCTCCAACCTCCTTGTGCTACCTTTCATTACAGACATTTCCACCCTTCCCACGTGTTCTATGTACACAGAGTGAGGATGAAGTAGAAGTCTATAAGGCAGCCTGTGACATAAAAGCCCTGTATACAGCTTCAGCTGTATATTTATGAATTCTGAGTACTATAATTCTAAGAAAAGCAAACTTGGGGACTGGATTCTGATAACGTCTTTCTAACATCAGACATAGCTCTTAAGACACCTCCAGTCCATCCAGTGACTTTTTAAAGTCATTAATACTTATGACATCTTGAAGCAGTGACCAAGTTTCACTCAGTCCATTGAGAAACACAAAAGTGACATTGAATTACAGCCCCACTTATGCTGGATTTCTTGACAGACTCTGAGCAGCCCAGTAGGTTTAACCACACAGTGGGAGGACTATAATGCATATACCAACACCTACGCCTTCTCCTCTACAAAGCCCTTGCAAGAGCTTGGTAAAATACAGGAGGGAAAAAAAGTATATCCTCAGCCTTAACAAGACCTGAGTCCTTTTGATTCACTTACGCCTTTATAACACTTATTGTGCAACTACCTCAAGGGTAGAAAAAGCCCTGGTATTTTAGTTGTAAACTATGCACGCAACAAAGAATAAAGGTTTGCAGAGCTAATATAGCCCTTCTCAAACCAACAGGCTACACTGTTGTCTAAAAACCACTCCTGCTTTCACACTAACATTTAAGGCTACTAGAAGTAGTACCTAAAACCACAACTTATTCAAACTAAACCTATCAAAAGATTTTACAGCTTTACAGTTGTACAGTCTCCTTTGTGTATGCAGACTTTCTGAAGGGTTTCTTCTAGCGTTCACATGAGAATTACAAACATTTTCTTTTTTTTAAATGATAGGATACATTCGCTTTAGTTTCAGGATGATGTTATGTGAGGCACACAAAATAAGGTCCATCGGTGTGAAGGGAGAGAGAAAACACACATAAGTTTTAAGAGGAATTCTCATACTACTTTTGGACTTGAGTTTGTTTGATGCCTGTATTTTCATATGGTTGGCAGCTCCATACAGTCAAAACCTTAAAAGATAATAACTTCCAAATCTGCATGTGCATTTCACTACAGCACTAAGCTGCCATGACAGAAAGAAGCGAAACAAAGCCAGGAGAATTTTAGTCACCGCTGTTGTAAACACCATACATCAAAGTACATACTTCCAGGCCTTACTGATACTTTGCACCGTATACAAGTCACTTTAAAATTCTAATAAGTCCTCCCTGCTTTCTATCTTAAGGTCTCATGACTCCTTACGCAACACAGACTTCAGGTTGCCTCGCAATCTTCAAATTAACCTTGGCCTGTATTCAAACACTGCTTTGTTACAGAAAAGCCGACATCTATATGAAAAGTACGACTCGTGGTACAAATAGGAAATATTATGAAATATGCTAGAATACGATGAAGTTACAGTTCATCACTGGAAAGTAGTTTTCATACAGCACCTTTTAGAATCGAGGAAGAAAAAAAACAAAATCAAGGTGACTTAACAACTACAAACAGTGGGAACTGAGGCATCCGCTTGTGTCTTGTAAGACTGCTGCTTACTTTAACCAGTTGGAAGAGTATTTAATGCCAAATACACATTTTTGTCAGGACATACACAGCAGAAACTGTCACAGGGATTAGATGAAGAAGAAGCGAAATCAACTCTTGCAGCATTTATACATTTACCCAAATATTCTGGGGTATATGTACACCTTCAGAAGACCATGTGCCAGGCTGTTGATCACATGCCCTTATGGTTTCAGCCACCCACCTGCCCCAACCCACTTCAACCCGGTAAACAAGTCTCCACATACTGCTGAACGTGCCTTATCTTCTATATTATTCCCTAGCTACGTTTCCACCGGGCTCTACCAATGTGAGATGAATTGAAAAACGTGAATATCTGATCCGAGATTAAAGAAAACAACAAAAAAAACCCTCCCTGCCCAGGGACCTGCCTGCCAGGGCGCAGACCAGCCCCGTCCCCGCCTGCGAGGA